TGTTCACCACCGTCCCCTCAGCGCTCCAACACCGAGCTAACAATCGGAAGCACACTGGGCTCACAGGGAGAGGGGGGGGGGGCGGGAGCTCAAACAAGCCGTTTAGGGCAGAGAGTGAATACACATACTTTACAGAGGTGCTGTGTATGCGAAACCAATGTGAGTTTGGAAAATTGCTTGCACAGTATAAATCTATTTTAAAGGGGACCTATCATGCAAAATGCACTTTTGTACGTCTTTTATACATGAATATGTGTCCCCGGTGTTCCAGAGAACTCACCAAGTGTCAGAAAATACAACCATACCCAAATCTCTAAAAACAGGGCTGCAACGGATTTGATACATGTGGTTTCTGATTTGCACCTCTATGATGTCACAGAGGTGCACTCCGCCTGTACGGTCAACTCTCCACCTATCAGGGGAATGAGAGGTTGCCGTGGCATAGCAACAGCATGGCAACAGCATAGTAACATGACGCTTGTGCCTCGCCCCCTCCTTTGCGGGGGGGGGGGGGTCAGCTCCAGCTCATGCAAAGACAGAGCTGGAGTGAGGCCAAATGAGGCATGGCTAAAATGCAAAATGCATGATCTGTTTGGTATTTTGAAAAATAAAACTTATAAATATACCTTATATAGGTATGGCCCTACAATATATTATTCAAATATAGCATGATAGGTCCCCTTTTAATATAGCTCAACAATGGAATTATGATCAGTGGAAATGGCCATGACATGGGACCTTTAACATATATATCGTTTTTGTTTTATCTCTTGGGAACAATGCCTAAATCAAATACTTTCTAATGGTTTCTTTTTCTAATAAACCTTGCATTGGGTTAGTCACACAATTCATTCTCTTGTGCTTTGTTGTATCTGAATTATGATAAGGAGGAGTTATCACAAGCTGTTTAGTTGTGCTATCTTACAATCCATACTATATTGTAAATGTGAGGTAAAGTGTGTCGCCAATGTAACCGGTTTAGAACTCAAAGTGGCGATGAGGTCTTAAAATATATGAAAAGGGTCTTAAAAGGTATTAAATTTGGCTTCAGGATTCCTGCATATACCCTGCACCACCACTAAATATTTTTGTTAATAAGATTTCTTTATGCTTTTTTTTTTGTCTGTTAATTGTTAGAAGGTCCATTAAATACAATCACAAAGTGGCCTCTTTCATTATTTTCTCTAAGCTGTATAAGAACTAAGCTTTTTAAACTGTGTTCTTATTTCTTCTCCCATGTCTCCTTCTGTAGAAACAAGACAAGAAATAGAGGAATATCATTCCGAAAACACTGTTGGATATTTGGATGTGGTCCAACAAAGAAGAGTCTTGAGTCCTCTGAATGTGAAAAGCAGTTCCCCGAATGCTGATTTTCTTGTCCCTCCCGTCTCATCTCTTAGTCCCCAAGTAAAGCCAGTACCCCCAGACTTTCAGCAACAGATGCCCATCACAGAATATCAAGTAAAAGAGGCTGAGGTGCATCTAGAATCCCAATGTTCCGCTATTGTTGGTCCTAAAACCAGTCAAACCCTGTCACTGTCTCCCACAGATAAATGCCCTCCAACTAGAAAAAGACCAGCTGATGAACCAACTCTGGACAGATATAGCACAAGTAACCCCCAACTCGAGGATCCTTTGCCAGAATATTACAAACCAACATGCAGTCAGCCCAGCTCAGAATCAGCCTCTGAGTCCTCTTTAGTCAACCCTGTTGCAACCCCCCCCCTTCAGTCTCCATTGGACCAGGACGCAGGACCTGAATCTTATGAACTCGACGAACTCGCCGAGTACACGATGCATTTTGATCGCCTTTTGGCTCTGGTGAGAAAGACTAAGTTAAATGTTTCCCCTGGCAAATCACCTCCTTCGAATAATGAGAATGCAACCTCCTGCACTTACGATTCATCTCAAAGGGTTGTGAAAAGCAGTTGGGATCAAAAGCATGTGCAGATAATATCTAACATGCCCCCAAAAGAAACAACAGGGGATTTAAAGCATGTTAATGTGACACAAGATCCAGCCGCCGCCTACTCATTTGAGGAGATGTCTCTAACGTCTGCAGCTCCTGTGGGCCATGAGAAGCAACTCGTCGCCCCTCATGCAAACTGGGCTCTCTCCGCAAACAACTCATCTATTATGGGCTTGACTTCAACGAGAGGCAACCTTTTAGGGACTGAAGCCCAAACAGTCAGTACAGTGTTAGCTTTTGCCAGCGCTGTGGACCCAAGCGACCCACAACACCAGATAAATGTCAAAGATCAGAGAAACCCTAGTCTCTTCTGTGAATTCCCCAACGATAACCCAGAGACTGTCAGACCCAACCAACTGCCCATTAACACTATCATAACTGCCAGGCCAAACGATCTGTTTATGAGCGGCTATAACCGAGAGGCGCTCACTGAGATGAACCAGACCCGGACTGCTCACACGCTAGATGCAGCTGCACCAATGCGCCCCAGCAAAGCTTCTGCAGGCCTATATGTCTTGAACGGACAGCAAGTGTTTATTTCTCCTGACGCTGTTGGAAGTTACACAACACCAGACCACATTCCTGCATACGCAACAAGTGGGGTCTTCCCAAAGCAGGAAGCAGGGTGCTTCAGTATGCAATCATTTGGACACATGTCAACAAGTCCTCTGCCCCCAGACTGGGTGATGCTGGGACGGCAGCAGCAGTGGCTCTTGCAGCAGCAGCAGCAGCAGCAGCAGCAGCAGCAGCAGCAGCAGCAGCAGCAGCAGCAGCAGCAGCAGCAGCAGCAGCAGCAGCAGCAGCAGCAGTACTCCTCATGGACGATGGCTGCAGCTCCAGCCAACTATAGGATTGATCAAACACAGAGTTCTTCTCAGGTTTACATGCAACCTCCATTCAATCACTATCCTTCTGCAGCCGATAATGGAATCGTATCCCAGGGATCAGCTAACTCATTTATGGCCACTGGCACAGGGTTATTTACTCCAGGTCCCCATATGACCGATAACCCTCCTCAATGAGGACTACCTGTTAAACCATGTAAATGCAAGGTATTTTTGCAGTACACCCGTTAAATACTGCTGATTGTATTAGATCTTTTTGTGAACACAAGGAAGTTTAGATACATGGCCTAAAAATCCCCAGTCTGATCTCTTTGTTACATTTCAAATAAGGTGTAAATTGTTCATTGCCATCTTGTTTTTTGATATATTTGTGTGTTTGGCAACAGGTTCAATAAACTGCCAGTTCATTTAAAACCTTTGCTTGCTTAATATGAAGGATACGTTTGTAAACATTTTCAGACAGGATATTAAGCTACTGTAGATATTTTTTGTTTTTACATTTTCAGCAGTGTACTTTGATTTATAATGTTTGTTTTAATAAAATTCCTTTAAATGCAGACTTTCTGTTGAACGTGAAATATTTGTTTATTTAAAAAAATGTGAAGATGGGGATAGTGAAAAACTGTCGCTCCAAAAACAAGGATTTGGTTAATATGAATGATATTGGATTCATTGTAAACTTCTGTCCATCAAATGTTGTGCCCGAGTCTATACCACATCTAAAGTTACAGATTGAATTGGTTATGAAGTCTCACAATTGGTCACATTTTCTTTCTCACAACCAACATCTCTTAGTAGGACAATGTTTAAATCTACAGTTCCTCATTCGACTGCAACATTAAAGTTACTTAGTAGTTTTATATAAACCTGATGACTCCTAACATTGCAATTCTTTAAAGTGCTGTATGAAATGTATCTCAGAGTCAACATAACTCCAAATATCCAGGGTATTTCGCAGCATTCTGCAAATAAGAGCTGTATCACTGTGTATCCTTGAGCTGCAATTAGTCCAGGCTTTCAACCGTATAAAGTGATAAGAAATACATGTCACAGTGTACAAGCCCATGAGCATTTTAACTCATCCATTTCCAGAATAGAGCCTATAGGTGACCCTGACCGTGCTGTTTGTCTATCATTGGGATTTTTTGGGAATCCCTTTTCGTGTTCTGGTATGAACCCAGCTGTGAAAACAAGACATAAAACAGCATTATCAGATAGTCAAGAATGTTCCCAGTAAACCCAGTCGGGTGGTAATACTCTGACACATTAAAGGGGTTTTATAGCGTCAATGTGTGAGAAACTCTTTCCTGAGGCAACAGTTTACGATATACAGGAGTGCTTTGACAGACCACCACACATGTGATAAGGACCCCCACTCATTAGTACCCAGGGAACAAAGACACTGATTATAGCCTAATGCAAATTGATACTCATCCACATGACGCTCTCCTGTTACCAGAGGAAAATCCATTTTGCCAAGCTACTACTTATTTCCTCATGTGACACACTGGCTTCATTCATTCATTGACTACCACTGTATTCATGATTCATTCATCATTGCTAGGACTGGCCCTGACCAATTTGCTGCCCTAGGCAAGATTTTAGCTGGCGCGCCCCCTCCCCCCCAAATGCAGACACTCACTATGACTCGCGCATGCATGCACATGTACGGTTGTGGCATGACCACCAAAACAGAAAGATATGGACACAAGATGTGTGCAAATGTATTTAGTTTCGTATCCATTAGAACATGATTTATCATTTAAGTGGGGGGGGACCTAACCTCCTCTAGGGGGGTCCGGGGGGCTTGCCCCCCCTGGATTTTATTTTTTAATATTGAAGTTAAAAGCATCAATCTGGTGCACTTGGAGAGCAACATTAGGAGATCTATGGATACATATCTCAACACCCATATATGAAACAGAACTAGTATTGATGTTACGTATTGCGCCGAGGCTTCGGAGCATGTGTCGAGTAATCCCCGAAGCTTTTTGTGAAGCATGTATCGAGGCTTGTATCATTTTGGNAATATTGAAGTTAAAAGCATCAATCTGGTGCACTTTGAGAGCAACATTAGGAGATCTATGGATACATATCTCAACACCCATATGAAACAGAACTGTAAGCAGATTTTCTTTTTCTTTATGAATATTCTACAAATCACTCTCCTTTCAAACTGTATTCTTGTTTATTAATAACTACTTTTTTGTACTGTCATATAGTATTTTAGTATTTCATACCTGTTTTTCATCTATTCTCTTATTTTTTTTATAACTATAATGATCATATAAAGGTGTGACTTTACCTCACTCAGCTGAGGTTATCAGAGCTGCTCAGTCTTTCAGGAGAGATCNTGAGGCACTGGCTCTGACTCTTCATGTTTACAAATATTATATTTGGACCTAAATCAAAATATAATATTATTTTCAAAAGCTTTTTTAGTCTGATGCTTCGATTAATTTTAAACAGACAGTTCAACAAAAGGATACCCAAAAAAAATTAATTTTATCATTTAAATATTGAATTGTTCTCTTAGTATCTTAGATCCCATTTTCAATAAAATGGCGGTCTTACCTTGACTTGAAGATGAAGTCAATTTGCCTATCCCTCTGGACAAAAATCTCTTACTTTTTTGTAAAAGTCCTCCTTATCTTCTTGTAGTTTCAAAAGTCTATCATAAATCTAATCTATAGATTTATGATTCGAAAAGGATAAAAGTAGGGTAGACATGTGGATATTATCCGCCTGAACAAAACGTGCATTTATCTAACAGGTACGTTTCCCACAGATCTTATTTCGAGCTATTTTCTAAAATCCTATGGAGAAATCTCATAGCTTTTTTATGGAGGGAAGCCATGCGCAGCTTACTTCCGGGTTTTAGGACGCGTCTCTCGTCTCCTTTTCACACACCACACTTTTCGCGGCACACGTACTTACAGCCAATCAGCTCTGAATGATGTGAGATGACGTATGGTGGGGATGGCAGCTCAGTGCCCCTATGGTCATTATTTTTTTGCCACACACATTAAATAGGACAATACTCTGAGCATGCGCAGTGTAGTTTTTACAGTCACCGTTCACTTAGACAATGAGAGGGAGGGGCATGATCGGGTTTTGTATGGTTTTGTCCCTCATGGCTCTAAACAGCTCAATAGGCACACACTGTAGGCACTAATTAGAAGAACACAGACTAAAACAGCAATGTACAGACGAATCAGATGATTAAACATGATCTTAAAATATATTTTATATATTTTTTTATTTACATTTTTGTATTTTTTTGTAATCATTATTTGTAATACTTTCTGCTGACACTAGGTGGGGCTGTGCCTAATGACCAGTCGCCACTGGATATATTTTAGTTTTAAAATGTAATCAGTTAGAGGTCAGTCTATACTCGGCTATGTTTTGTCATGATCTTTAAAGTTAACTCTTATAGTGGTTAAAAATGTAAAAGTAAAGACGGGTTCACTCCAACAAGGTGGTTGCTTTGGCGGGAAGGACCATCAGCATGAGATGGTTTGTTTAATGGAATTCTTAGAAATGTATTCCCGTAGCCAATAACAACAGGTCAGCGTGACATGAGATTCAGAAGGAACAAAGATTGGTCCCGTAAAAGAGAAAATGTACGTCTTATAGCCTATTCCTAAGCTGGGAATGGTTTCAAACTAAGACCAGAGGGAATCATCTCAAAGAATAGAAGGTCAGGAGTTTATTTTGTCATTTGGATGTTCTTGTTATGACAAAACTTGGCATGTCATGTAACTAATCGTACTAAATTACATATGCCAGGTGGTTTGGGAAAAGCAGAATATGTGATATTTGTATAATGAGGGCTTTTGGTATTGTTGCCTTGTTGTACCATATTTGACACTGTACTGTCAAATACGATCAAAAACAGGAAGGTGAAATTGTGAGAGGATCCACAGTTTGAGAAAAACGGCGTTTCTTGCAGGGACGTCGGAACTATTTTCTGGGGGGGGGTGCGGGATTTTTGCTGGGAGGGTCGGGGGGGAAACTCACACTATCAATGATTAACGAACTCGACACGTAGGCCTAATAGCCTAGGCCTATACATAACAGATATAGGCTACATAAACACACGCAGCATCTTAATTGTTACGAAAATGTATGAAACAAAATGAATTAATGAATTAATCAAGCCTTTATTAAGGAACATACTGTAGCCTAATAGGCGATAACATAGGCCTACAGCATTCAGAAAATCAACAGAATAATACAGCCTTTACGAACATAGGCCTAATGGCTGTAGGCCTATGTTATCGCCTATTAGGCTACAGTATGTTCCTTAATAANTCCCGTTTGAATTGTGCCACGATTTACACATATGATGTTTGTCAATCTTAAAAAATAAACAAATCCCGGAATCCCGGTCCCGCATGCTGTCTCTTACGGAACCGACTAACTCCCCTTTTGTGTGTGCACATTTCTCAACATTCCCAGACTTGTAATGATTTTCACTTCTTTTAATACTTTTCGCCTCATTCTGAAAGAAAGAAGTGAAATGTGCCAACGTGACAGCCGTCTTGGTGTGTGGTGCGGGACGGGAGATGTAGTTCATTGAGCGGTTTCACACAAAAAAAAGTGTTACTTCACAGTTTTACGACACTTTTTTTTTTTTTGTACTTGCAAAATTATCTTTTAAAAATTGACAAACATCATATATGTAATTCGTGGCACAATTCAAACGGGATCGAAAATAATCTTTCTCTCCCCATTGACTTCAATACATACTTTTTCCGAAATAAGGTCCCATGGAGGTCCCCCGGAAAGGGAGGGACTTCGCCTCTCTATGTAGCTACAGACAGCAATGTTTATTTATGGATGCCGTCTTTGCATGTATAGCCAAGTTTAAAGAATAACATGAGCTTGAAACATGGCTTGTGAATATGCTAGTAAATTGTATTTAGACGAGCCACAATAGGAAGACCTTTATATATTTTTTTTGTTCTCACCAATAAGAGGCTCGGCTCCCGTGTAGCCATCCAGAGAGCTGCTGCGGTTCTCTGATGGCAGGGAGGGTTCAGGTGAACTGTTCTCTAAACGCCGTGTGGACTTGATTACATCTATTGTTAAATTTGTCTCTGGCACTTCGGAGATCTGTCCTTGTCGGTTTTTGGAAAGTAATACAATCCTCTGAGATTGAGGGGAATCTTGCTCCGGCTGCGTAGATGTGCTCTCTGAAAGGTTTTCAGTTTCACCCTGCTGGTCTCTCAAGATAGTTATCAGAGTTACTGCTGTGGTGTTAAAAAGAAAAAAGAGACTGATGTGGAGTAAAACAAATCAAATAAAAGTGGGACATGCATATATAGGAAAAAAAAGACACATAATAGACAAATGAGAAGAGGTGGAATTGAAGAGGGTTTGAGACTTGTGTTACAACTCACTGACCGTCATTCTCGCTGTTTGTTGCTATCCTCTGGTATACAGCATCTTCGAGCTCTAACCACTTTATATGAATGTACACACAAAGATGTGAGGGCTCATATCCAAACATGCATCTGTTTGCATCCACAACGTACACAGTTAAACAACATACCTGGACGTCTCCGGGCCCTTCCTTCTCCTCAAGTGTCTTAGCCATCTCCATGAGTGGCCAGGCCAGCTTAGACAGGTCAGACTTCTCCTTCCATTCAGACACTAAGTGGGGGTGCCAGGCTTTCTGTGAAACATAACAACACTGAATTACCTAAGATCCAAGTCAGCACATAAACTCTTATCGTGACTTCTTCTACAGTACTACTTACAATGTAGTTGTATCTGTGGAGACTTCCCATGATGTGGTTTCGCATGTCAGCTTTATTAAGTTGACACACACATACCTCACACAGGAACAATATTTCTTTGTTGTGTGTACCGGCCTTCACACATTCTATAATACTGCCCAGGCCTGAATATACATGAAGTGACAAGTTATTTCAATACAGGCTGTACCAAATATACCGAAACTTCATTAATAACGTTGGTTTTAAAATACTTAATTAAAAATACTATTGCTGAGCAGCGTTTTTTTGCTCTTCTATTTATTTGTATTAAATGGTATTTCTGCATAGTAACAGATAAATATTATTATTATAACATCAATGCAGTCAAAAATGTTTTGCTCTCCTGCTTGCTGCACACACACGGGACTCATGTGACTGACAAGCTATATTCATTAAAGCAATTTTATTTAGTAAAAAAGACTAACTCCTTAACTCCAACAAATCTATTTGTCGGATCAAGGATTTCCTTTTTCTTAGGGATATGATGCTGTAAAATGTGATTACAGACACAACAAGAGGAAAACATTAGCAACAGCCCAACAGGATACACAACATACACAAAATAAGTATTTTTTTCTACAGACCGATGATGGGTTGTAATCTGCTCTTGTTGTTCAGATAAACCTTCAGAGAATCCAACAGCTGGCTTTTGGTAGAAACACCTACAAACAGAGAATGCATCAAAAACACTTAATAACGGAAAAATAGTGTAGGCATGGCAGACCTATCAAAGAAAGACATACCTTTTTGTGCTTCAACCGGCTGCATGCTGCCTTTGTAGAATCACCACCTGCATACAGTTAAGGTTGGAGATTACAATTATTACTTATAATTTGCCTTTGTTTGTGCCTGAACAGTTTCAGTTATTAAAAAAGTAAATTAGGGTCAGCCATGATCCATGTAGAGGAAAATGTATTTTAATGTCATGTAAAGTTTCCGTTATCCTCACCAAGTTTACAAACCTTCACTTTACATGGTGAAACAAAGTATTAGGGTCCGGTTATATTTGTTTCAACACAATTTTCAGGAAAATGTGCAATACCCTGTGCCTTTACATGGTGAATTAACACAATTACAACTAATTCTTCAAGTCATTTTTGACATATTTCGTTTTGTGTACATGTCTAATCCAAAAACAGTATATGTCATATCCTGCTTGTATCTGAATTTTAGATTTGTTATGCTAATAAAATGACCATAGAAAATAATAAACTGTGCCTTTTTACAAACTAGCCACAAGATGGCGCGCAATATCAACACATTGTTCAAACAGGATTGTGACTTTTCAAAAGTTTGAAATAAAATGTAAACGTTTTTAATTATAAAGAAATAAACTAAATCATGTAACTGTTATTCAACGATGTAATTATGGTAGCCTTCTGCAAATAATGAATGCCAACGTTCAATAAGTGTGTAGTCCATATACAGAGGTATGTAGACACTTCAAAGTGAATCATAGCAGCAGGAAATGGGGTTACACAAGACACAGGAAGTATTGTACTGCTGTCACTCTGATAAACTGATAGATCAACAGGAAGAACTATTCCGTCTTTACTTCAGTAATAGTACCAATACATTCATGATTTTATACTCCATTACAATTAAACTCCTGCATTCAAAACCGTACTTAAGTATTATCAGTACAATGTACTTCATGTGTGATTTACTATATAACATCATTAGATAATGTTTACAGCATTCTACTCAAAGTATTGACTTTTGTAATATTTCGTATAATTTTACAATTGTGTACCGTAAACTGTTAATCCACACATTTATTTTTTAGAAATGCATTACATTTCTGAAAAGTACCTAAAAGTTAAAGTTGAATCAAAAATATTTGTTTTTAAAAGTAAATGTACTTTTTCCACCACGGTTAAGCAGGCTGTTTAGCAGGGACAACTTAAAAAGCTTCGTTCGTTATTTTTGGAGTTGTTATTTTACACTACAGTTTCATAAAAGAAGAGTGGTAAGTTGTACATAAGAAGAATGTTGACCAGTTAGGTAACGACACTCATGTGAAACTTCTAGCTAATTACAGCTAACTTACCCACGTTTCCCCGTAGTTAAATAAAATACTTAACGGCTGTTCACTACCGTTAACCGTTGTCAATTAACGTAAACTCACGTTACACGTGTTTTAAGAATAAATTAGTAAACATGTGTGTTATCAATAAAACGTATTAACGACGTAACTTGACTAAACGTAAGGTCAGAAATATTGATGTTTGTTCACCCTACAGATTAAAAATAAACAAACATTTCTGTTATCTGAGCAACCAAACAACTAACAAGCTAAAGTCCGACGTTCCATCGAAACAATACAACTGAAACTTACTTGTTAACAGGATTAAGTGAAAGACGCTGACTTCCTACTGTAGGTTCACTTACCGCTAGAAAGTTAGTATCGGTCTCTCTTGTAGATCTAGAATCCACAATTAAGCGACATAGTGGTTAACGTTGGGGATCACATCCACCGTTTGTCAGGTTTATCTTTAGGTTGTACCGATTCAAGACTGCGAGAATGACGTCTCTACGTTGGCCAATCAAATCAACACCTTCAGCCTTGTGTGTGTGTGTGTGTGTGTGTGTGTGTGTGTGTGTGTGTGTGCGTGCGTGTGCGTGCGTGCGTCTTTCCTTAGGGTTACAATAATGTTAGGGTGTGGCCTATTAGGAATTCTGTTGTGATAGTTAAGGTCAGTTCGACAGTGATTGAAGTAGAAGTTACTCAGATATTAGTTTAGAATAACTTTGTTAATAAGAAGTAGTCTAATCCTTTAACATTTTACTGAAGTAAAAGTTAAACTATTATCCTCTACTTAAAGTGCAAATGTTAAAGTAGCCTACACGTTATGTAGAATGCCCATTTCAGATGGTAGGCTACACTCTTTTGTATCATATACCCTGGGATCAACAAGGTATTTTTAATTTATAATAATGCAAAAAATATATTTGTAGATTACATTTTGTATTTTTTATCTGAATTGCAGTGAATTACCTTGCAATTGTAAATAAGTAGTACAATACTTGAGTAAATGCACTTACAGTATTACTTAAGTTACCACCACTAGTTAAGTTAAGGTCAATAGATGACCATTAATCAATTTCAACTTCTGGAATTGCCACTCCGTTAAAATAATTGTTCTACTGTTTGGTTTGACTTATTTCATTTGAGCTTATATTTATCCTGTATTTTAGTTGTATTCTTTTTTTTTAAACCCTTTTATATGTATGTCTTTATATATTGATTTGTGTTTCTTGTATCCCCATTATCCTATGAAGCCTTTCTGAGTTATTTAAAGTAATTTAAATTGCATGATGTAGAAAAGTGGCATACAAATATGGAAGAATTTTGTTTTGTTTTGTCTGTAACACAAAGGGTCAGAATGGCCTTCACACGTAGCCAACTTTGTGAGGGAGGTAAGATAAGAGGGACCTTGAGGATGTGCTGTGCTGTTCTGTGAAAAACTGTTTCTGTCTGGCAACTTGAGCCATAACACATTTCTTACCATTAGATATAAACTAGCCGTTTTAATCCCTACCACTATGTTATTCCAGGTGAGATTTTACTTGATTGTTCCCAAGACTGCTACAAATATTACCAAAGCTTCCTGGAAAAGTGTGGTCAGGACACAAAGTCTGTTTCAGTAAACTGTTGAGACTAGACCGTTTTTATCAAGGGAAGCAGCCTTAACTCTTGTAAACATTTGAAATTCAAATGATCAACTACTGTCAGCCTTTTCCAAGGTCTTTTTTCCTAAGACCTGAACACCTTCAGAGATGACCTGAGACCAGAAATCAAGGTTGAGATGTACAAAGTACAAACCGGTTTTATTGGTTTTTCACAAAAACATAGGAGAAAATACAAAAGCTTATGTCAGACACAAGGACAAACCCAAAAGGTAAAAAATCCCAAAGCCCCCAAAAACACACATTTGATATATTTTATAACCTTCCTCCCTCCTCCCTCTCTTCATCAGGTGGTTTCACCTTGCTGTCTATAGGTAAGAGGCAGGTTACATAGTTTCAGCTTTTACTAATTAACAATTCAAAATATATAATATAAATTAAACAAATAAAGATTATTGAAATGATAGTACATTTTAACAAAAGTGAATAAAAGAATATATATGAAAGCAGAATACTTAAACAATGTCATATGGAATTCAACTTATTTTAACTCAATTAAAAACAAGAAACGTATTAAAAATGTAAACTGGTGTTACTAAGTCCTGATGCCTCCCGATGTTAAGGCTAAAATAATAATGGAAGTACAGAGTTCACTCTCTTCCTGTGCACATTGTTCTTTGGCCACTGGCTCCACTGCTGTTGTACCCGTACCCTAACCCAATTATACATTTAGTAAAAATTGTACATTTCATAGAGGCAGGATTTGTAGGTGAGGTCTGTCACGGCCACTTAAACAGCAGATCCGTCAACAAAGAGATAAGAAATCCAAGAGATAGTTACTTCAACAGGTCATCACATCTGATTAGAGACTAGACAATTAGGATCTTTCCAAAATATATATATGTTTGAAATGAAAGATCAATACTTAGTGAAATGTTTCCTGCTTTCCAAATATTTTTATCAAACTGCTGTTTGCTACTCTCTTTCTCCCCACATAATGTGGATCAGGTCGGCTACACAATGCTATCTGGCCCGTTTTGTCTGCCCTTCAGGATCATGGTTGCTTCTTTTAAAGTACTGTAACACTGTAAAGTTGCAGTTTTCACACATGAAGGTTCAAGTCTTGACAATCAAATATCTGATAGGAATACAATGAGCACAAATCAATGCGTTGTGGACTTCAAACTTTTGAGACCTACAGGAGGAATAAGTGTAATGGGAAATTTTATCATTCTAAGTGAGCATCTAATACAATGGTTGACATGTAGCAGTAAATATGTCCTAACCTACATGAGTCGTAAATAATGTCGGATTGATTCATTATTGTAAGGTTGGTTGCCTTCTCCTTTTAAGGAATGTAGACATGTTGTCTCTCCTGTTGCAGGTTTATTAAAAAATAATCCTATAGCCCCTCCTCTTTTATTTTTTGTCTGAAAATGTGAAGATAAGGCCCTCTGCGGATATCCTGATTTTTGTACTTCGCTGCAGACTGCTCGACACTCTGTAACGTTGTTACTGTTATATCAGGCTGGCACCTTCTCAATATAACTAGGTATGTTATTGAATTATTTAGAGAGGCCCATTGTCTCTTTGCTAATTATTCACTTTAAGTGAGCTGACGCCAAGGAAGTACAAAGAGGCCCTGCTCAGATAATACAGTTTGTTAGTTAGGTGGTTCATATCCTGACAAGATATGAATTACTCCTAAATTAGATAATGGTCTTTCCACATCTGGAACATATTAACATATCAACTAATCCATGCTTGTGTGGTTGGCTGCTTGTTGTTCTAATGTTCGTGCGTTAAACATGGTTAGGGGAAATGAGTGTGCGTCTGTAGAAACCTAAGTATTGCATTAGTTGAATACATTGTGATGTACGTGTGTTAGCTGTATGTTCAAGTGTATGTTTGTGTGTTTTTTATAAAGCACACGAGATCTTTATAGTCTGTGGAGCATTATGACTGCTTGAGAGCAAAGGTAATGTTTCCTCATTATTATTGATTGTTGTACAACAAAATAATAATTGATCAACTATATCTGTATTTGTGTTTTATTGCTTCCTCTCGGTTTCATTCTTTCCTGTTTTGAGTGCTGAATTGCACAAACATTACCTTCTTGCAAGACTAAAGTCGTTAAAAGCCTGTCTTATTTCAAGTATCTTCATTTCAGTATAACAGGAAGGTTTCCTCACCATTTTATAATATGTGTTAGTTTATTTCGGTGAAATTCCACCACATACCTTAAACCAGACACACCCTGATAATTGACAGAGTTGTGTTGAGTAAAGTTGAGTGACAGAAAAATACTGAGCAGACCGTGTTTTTCATGTTATTTCCATGGCCGTGAATAGGTGTAACAACAGTTCCAGACACAAGTACACTACATATCTAGCATCTCAGGACTCCTTATCTGTTGTGTAACTTGTTATTCTGTGTATACATTTTACATGTCACCTGTTAAATATGTGCTCAGGACAGCAGTCTGATAGCAGCCTTACAACCTGTAAGAGTTTGAACATCCCTGTATGTAAGACAACTTTGGTCCTTCCGATCTCTCGGCTGTGAATAATTGTTCTATCATTGACACACTTTTAAAAACATATTAATCGTTACTTATTGGTTAATTTGATGGGTACAGTGCAACTTAATGGATATCAGTAGAAATAAACATAATGTAAAAATGCAGGCAAAAACAATAATATACATCTGTCGTTCCCAGACAGGTAATCTAATGGCAACAAAGGATGAGACGAGAGGCAGATCTGAAGAGTGCCGGGTTTTAGTTGTATTTCAGTGTTGTAGCCATTGACATAATTCACTCATGGAACTACGGGTTGGGGGGTATTGTTCCGCACGGACATATATATTGACTGTACCTACTGTGTGCCCTCCTTTCTCTTCCCGGGCTTCGAGCCGATAACATGTGTGTGTCTGATGCTCATTAAAGCTAACTTTGATTCTTAGATGCACCGCCTCCGACTCCCGTCTCTTGGCACTACATTGGTGACCCTGACATAAGTCTCGCAGAAGTTTCCGAGACTGAACCGAAGATGGCAAGAAACGCCGTTTTTCTCAAACTGTGGATCCTCTCACAATTTCACCTTCCTGTTTTTGATCGTATTTGACAGTACAGTGTCAAATATGGTACAACAAGGCAACAATACCAAAAGCCCTCATTATAC